ATGGTTCTCCTACAGCAGGTTCTCCTGGTCTTGGTTCACCTGTTCATGGTTCTCCTGCAGCAGTTTGTCCTGCTCATGGTTCTCCTGCTCATGGTTCTCCTACAGCAGGGTCTCCTGTTCATGGTTCTCCTACAGCAGGTTCTCCTGCTCATGGTTCTCCTGCTCATGGTTCTCCTACAGCAGGGTCTCCTGCTCATGGATCTCCTGCTTATGGTTCTCCTACAGCAGGTTATCCTGCTCATGGTTCTCCTGCTTATGGTTCTCCTACAGCAGGTTCTCCTGCTCATGGTTCTCCTGCTTATGGTTCTCCTACAGCAGGGTCTCCTGCTCATGGATCTCCTGCTTATGGTTCTCCTACAGCAGGTTTTCCTGCTCATGGTTCTCCTGCTTATGGTTCTCCTACAGCAGGTTCTCCTGCTCATGGATCTCCTGCTCATGGTTCTCCTACAGCAGGTTCTCCTGGTCTTGGTTCCCCTGTTCATGGTTCTCCTGCAGCAGTTTGTCCTGCTCATGGTTCTCCTGCTCATGGTTCTCCTACAGCAGGTTCTCCTGCTCATGGATCTCCTGCTTATGGTTCTCCTACAGCAGGTTCTCCTGCTTATGGTTCTCCTGCTTATGGTTCTCCTACAGCAGGGTCTCCTGCTCATGGATCTCCTGCTTATGGTTCTCCTACAGCAGGTTCTCCTGCTCATGGTTCTCCTGCGCATGGTTCTCCTACAGCAGATTCTCCTGGTCTTGGTTCCCCTGTTCATGGTTCTCCTGCAGCAGTTTGTCCTGCTCATGGTTCTCCTGCTCATGGTTCTCATACAGCAGGGTCTCCTGTTCATGGTTCTCCTGCAGCAGTTTGTCCTGCTCATGGTTCTCCTGCTCATGGTTCTCCTACAGCAGGTTCTCCTGCTCATGGTTCTCCTGCTTATGGTTCTCCTACAGCAGGTTCTCCTGCTCATGGTTCTCCTGCTTATGGTTCTCCTACAGCAGGTTCTCCTGCTCATGGTTCTCCTGCTTATGGTTCTCCTACAGCAGGTTCTCCTGCTTATGGTTCTCCTGCTCATGGTTCTCCTGCTTATGGTTCTCCTACAGCAGGGTCTCCTGCTTATGGTTCTCCTGCTCATGGTTCTCCTGCTTATGGTTCTCCTACAGCAGGTTCTCCTGCTCATGGTTCTCCTGCTTATGGTTCTCCTACAGCAGGTTCTCCTGCTTATGGTTCTCCTGCTCATGGTTCTCCTGCTTATGGTTCCCCTACAGCAGGGTCTCCTGCTCATGGATCTCCTGCTTATGGTTCTCCTACAGCAGGTTCTCCTGCTCATGGTTCTCCTGCTTATGGTTCTCCTACAGCAGGTTCTCCTGCTCATGGTTCTCCTGCTTATGGTTCTCCTACAGCAGGTTCTCCTGCTCATGGTTCTCCTGCTTATGGTTCTCCTACAGCAGGTTCTCCTGCTCATGGTTCTCCTGCTTATGGTTCTCCTACAGCAGGGTCTCCTGCTCATGGATCTCCTGCTTATGGTTCTCCTACAGCAGGTTCTCCTGCTCATGGTTCTCCTGCTTATGGTTCTCCTACAGCAGGGTCTCCTGCTCATGGTTCTCCTGCTTATGGTTCTCCTACAGCAGGTTCTCCTGCTCATGGTTCTCCTGCTTATGGTTCTCCTACAGCAGGTTCTCCTGCTCATGGTTCTCCTGCTTATGGTTCTCCTACAGCAGGTTCTCCTGCTCATGGATCTCCTGCTCATGGTTCTCCTACAGCAGGTTCTCCTGCTCATGGTTCTCCTGCTTATGGTTCTCCTACAGCAGGTTCTCCTGCTCATGGATCTCCTGTTCATGGTTCTCCTACAGCAGGGTCTCCTGCTCATGGTTCTCCTGCTTATGGTTCTCCTACAGCAGGTTCTCCTGCTCATGGATCTCCTGCTTATGGTTCTCCTACAGCAGGTTCTCCTGCTCATGGTTCTCCTGCTTATGGTTCTCCTACAGCAGGTTCTCCTGCTCATGGATCTCCTGCTCATGGTTCTCCTACAGCAGGTTCTCCTGCTCATGGTTCTCCTGCTCATGGTTCTCCTACAGCAGGTTTTCCTGCTCATGGTTCTCCTGCTTATGGTTCTCCTACAGCAGGTTCTCCTGCTCATGGATCTCCTGCTCATGGTTCTCCTACAGCAGGTTCTCCTGCTCATGGTTCTCCTGCGCATGGTTCTCCTACAGCAGGTTCTCCTGGTCTTGGTTCCCCTGTTCATGGTTCTCCTGCAGCAGTTTGTCCTGCTCATGGTTCTCCTGCTCATGGTTCTCCTACAGCAGGGTCTCCTGTTCATGGTTCTCCTACAGCAGGGTCTCCTGCTCATGGTTCTCCTACAGCAGGGTCTCCTGCTCATGGATCTCCTGCTCATGGTTCTCCTACAGCAGGGTCTCCTGCTCATGGATCTCCTGCTCATGGTTCTCCTACAGCAGGTTCTCCTGCTCATGGTTCTCCTGCTTATGGTTCTCCTACAGCAGGTTCTCCTGCTCATGGTTCTCCTGCTTATGGTTCTCCTACAGCAGGTTCTCCTGCTCAAGGTTCTCCTGCTTATGGTTCTCCTACAGCAGGTTATCCTGCTCATGGTTCTCCTGCTTATGGTTCTCCTACAGCAGGTTCTCCTGCTCATGGTTATCCTGCTTATGGTTCTCCTGCTTATGGTTCTCCTGCTTATGGTTCTCCTACAGCAGGTTCTCCTGCTCATGGTTCTCCTGCTTATGGTTCTCCTACAGCAGGTTCTCCTGCTCATGGTTCTCCTGCTTATGGTTCTCCTACAGCAGGTTCTCCTGCTCATGGTTCTCCTACAGCAGGTTCTCCTGCTCATGGTTCTCCTGCTTATGGTTCTCCTACAGCAGGGTCTCCTGCTCATGGATCTCCTGCTTATGGTTCTCCTACAGCAGGGTCTCCTGCTCATGGTTCTCCTGCTTATGGTTCTCCTACAGCAGGTTCTCCTGCACAAGGTTCTCCTGCTTATGGTTCTCCTACAGCAGGGTCTCCTGCTCATGGTTCTCCTGCTTATGGTTCTCCTACAGCAGGTTCTCCTGCTCATGGTTCTCCTGCTTATGGTTCTCCTACAGCAGGTTCTCCTGCTCATGGTTCTCCTGCTTATGGTTCTCCTACAGCAGGTTCTCCTGCTCATGGTTCTCCTGCTTATGGTTCTCCTACAGTAGGTTCTCCTGCTCATGGTTCTCCTGCTTATGGTTCTCCTACAGCAGGTTCTCCTGCTCATGGATCTCCTGCTCATGGTTCTCCTACAGCAGGGTCTCCTGCTCATGGATCTCCTGCTCATGGTTCTCCTACAGCAGGTTCTCCTGCTCATGGTTCTCCTGCTCATGGTTCTCCTACAGCAGGTTCTCCTGCTCATGGTTCTCCTGCTTATGGTTCTCCTACAGCAGGTTCTCCTGCTCATGGTTCTCCTGCTTATGGTTCTCCTACAGCAGGTTCTCCTGCTCATGGTTCTCCTGCTCATGGTTCTCCTACAGCAGGTTCTCCTGCTTATGGTTCTCCTGCTCATGGTTCTCCTACAGCAGGTTCTCCTGCTTATGGTTCTCCTGCTCATGGTTCTCCTACAGCAGGTTCTCCTGCTCATGGTTCTCCTGTTCATGGTTCTCCTACAGCAGGTTCTCCTGCTCATGGTTCTCCTGCTTATGGTTCTCCTACAGCAGGTTCTCCTGCTCATGGTTCTCCTGCTCATGGTTCTCCTACAGCAGGTTCTCCTGCTTATGGTTCTCCTGCTCATGGTTCTCCTACAGCAGGTTCTCCTGCTCATGGTTCTCCTGCTTATGGTTCTCCTACAGCAGGTTCTCCTCCTCATGGTTCTCCTGCTTATGGTTCTCCTACAGCAGGTTCTCCTGCTCATGGTTCTCCTGTTCATGGTTCTCCTACAGCAGGTTCTCCTGCTCATGGTTCTCCTGCTTATGGTTCTCCTACAGCAGGTTCTCCTGCTCATGGTTCTCCTGCTCATGGTTCTCCTACAGCAGGTTCTCCTGCTTATGGTTCTCCTGCTCATGGTTCTCCTACAGCAGGTTCTCCTGCTCATGGTTCTCCTGCTTATGGTTCTCCTACAGCAGGTTCTCCTCCTCATGGTTCTCCTGCTCATGGTTCTCCTACAGCAGGTTCTCCTGCTTATGGTTCTCCTGCTCATGGTTCTCCTACAGCAGGTTCTCCTGCTCATGGTTCTCCTGCTCATGGTTCTCCTACAGCAGGTTCTCCTGCTCATGGTTCTCCTGTTCATGGTTCTCCTACAGCAGGTTCTCCTGCTCATGGTTCTCCTGCTTATGGTTCTCCTACAGCAGGTTCTCCTGCTCATGGTTCTCCTGCTCATGGTTCTCCTACAGCAGGTTCTCCTGCTCATGGTTCTCCTGCTTATGGTTCTCCTACAGCAGGTTCTCCTGCTCATGGTTCTCCTGCTCATGGTTCTCCTACAGCAGGTTCTCCTGCTCATGGTTCTCCTACAGCAGGTTCTCCTGCTCATGGTTCTCCTGCTCATGGTTCTCCTACAGCAGGTTCTCCTGCTTATGGTTCTCCTGCTCATGGTTCTCCTACAGCAGGTTCTCCTGCTCATGGTTCTCCTGCTTATGGTTCTCCTACAGCAGGTTCTCCTGCTCATGGTTCTCCTGCTCATGGTTCTCCTACAGCAGGTTCTCCTGCTCATGGTTCTCCTGCTCATGGTTCACCTACAGCAGGTTCTCCTGCTCATGGTTCTCCTGCTTATGGTTCTCCTACAGCAGGTTCTCCTGCTCATGGTTCTCCTGCTCATGGTTCTCCTACAGCAGGTTCTCCTGCTCATGGTTCTCCTGCTCATGGTTCACCTACAGCAGGTTCTCCTGCTTATGGTTCTTCTGGCTGTGAACCCAGATGCACTTCTTCTCAGAGGAGCTAGGAGCTTCTCTGAGGATGAACACCTCCTACCTGAAGGAGTCATTGTCAGAAGTGATGTGGGGGAAAACCACAGAAGAAGACATCAGTGTAATCAGAGCCCTCCCTCCCTCTCTGGGTGAGTAGCCTGAAGCTAGGTAGCCTGTAGCTAGCAGGAAGCTCGCGCTGTGGTTGGTTAGTGAAGTTTAATGAAATGTTGTAAATGTTGGCGACCAGCGGTTAACCAGGCTGGTTAGTTGGTTAGAATTAATCCATCGATCGTTCCTCCTAACATGTTAGCTGCTAGCTAGCTATAGCTAGTTCTGTGGTTAGCTGAAGCTAACCGTTAGCTTCTTGGCCAAAACAATCGACCTCAGACGGAGTGGAGCGCCTGGTATGTGAAATAAAATGTTTTTAATAATGAAGCTAGGTTAACTTTGGGGTTTATTTCCGAACATAACAGGAGAGAAATGATTGTAAATCAGAGGATGTTTAGCTGCAGGATCTCTGCTAACATCATCAATGCTCAGATCCTCTGATTTGATTCCAGTTTGATTTATTTTCTGTAACATTTCTAATGTTTTCTCCTCCCCCGGTGGAACTCCAAACTGATTATAAGGCTTTAAAAGCAGCTAAAGCAGAAAAAAACGATCATATTATTTTTTTCTGAGGAACTGGCTCTGATTTTCTGCTTCTTTAAACAGCAGCTCTTCTCCTAATATATAAAAAACAAACTTTCTATTCAGTTCAGTTTATTTCTATAGTTCTGTAGTTTATGTCTATAGTTCTATAGTTTATGTCTATAGTTCTATAGTTTATTTCTATAGTTTTATAGTTTTTTTTCTATTGTTCTAATTCACATCATCTCAGAAGCTTCTCAGAGACACTGCAGTCAGATTCTGATCGCGTCCTGCAATCCTGGAGGAGCTTGTAGAGACGGCATTTGAGATAGAATGAAGCAGAATGATGAAAAATGGTCCCTATGTCCTCCAGCAGTCTAAGCCTATAGCAGCAGAACTAAAGAGATAGCTCAGGATAACCTGAGTATTTTAGATTGCGTATAAGAAAGGTGGAGTTACAGTAGAGCCAAGCTCTGTTCTCTTTATTCCATATTCCAGCTAGTTTGATGATGTCAAACATTAAAGTGTGATTATTAGAATCATGCCCTGTATTCAACTGTTGGTTGTTTTTGATATTTTATGCAGCATTTTAAAGGGTCTTCTCTTTTAGACGGTAAAATAATAAAATAAGTATTTGAACCCCCTGCTATTTTAAAAGTTGTCCCTCTTAGAAATCATGGAGGGTCTGAATTGTCATCGTAGGTCCATGCCCAGAGACATAATCTAAAAAGAAAATCCAGAAATCACAATAACTGATTTGTTAAACCATTTATTTGTATGATCCAGCTGTTTATCAGCTAGATTTCTGATCCTCAAAGACCTAAGGGGTCTTTTTTTGTTTTATTTTCATTACACTGTCACAAGTACAGTGCATTAAAACCATCCCACCGGGGAGCAGTCGGCTACCATTGTGGGGCGTCCAGGGAGCAGTGTGGGGTTAGGGTCTTACTCAGGGACCCAGAATGACAGCCTGTGGGAGTGGGGCTGGAACTCAGGATTCCAAGTTCTATGCCGTAACCCCTGGACCACCACTCCCCAATGTGTGAAGGGTATTGCCTAAGGAACCCCGTCCTCCTGTTTACAGGACGGGTGACTTAGCACTTGAGCTAGCCAGCTGCTACAGCTAGCCAGACATTATAGCTGTCCAAAGACACTAGAGACTAAACTGTCCACCTCCACAAGGCTGGAGAGGACTACGGGTGAAAAAAGCTCCACTGTTGGAGCTTCATTAGAAAATGGAAGAAGCTCAACATGACAGTCAGTCTCCCTCAGACTGGGGCTCTATGCAGGATCTCACCTGGTGGGGCCTCACTGATCAGTCCGGAACTACACGGGAGGAGCTGGTCAATGACCTGGAAAGAGCTGGGACCACCGTTTCCATGGTTACCGTTGGTAACACACTAAGACGTCACGGTTTGATATCATGCATGGAAGGTTCCCCTGCTTAAAGCAGCTCATGTCAGGCCGTCTGCAGCTAATGAGCATCTGGATGATCCAGAGGAGTCATGGGAGAAAGTCATGTGATCAGATGAGACCAAAATAGAACTTTTTGCTCATAATTCCATAATAATTGTTTGGAGGAATAACACCATCCCTACTGTGAAGCACGGAGGTGGTAGCATCATGCTTTGGGGTGTTTTCTGGACATGGGACAGGGTGACTGCACTGTATTAAGGAGAGGAGGACCGGAGCCATGATTGCCAGATTCTGGGGAACAACCTCCTCCCCTCAGTTAGAGCATTGCAGATGGGGGGAGGCTGGGTCTTCCAGCATCACAATAAGCCAGGATAGCCAAGGAGCAGCTCTGGAAGAAGCAGATCTATGTTCTGGTGTGGCCTAGCCAGTCTCCAGACCTAAACCCAATCTATGAAGGGATCTACAGCCCAGAAAGCTGACTGATCTAGAGAAGATCTGTGTGGAGGAGTGGGCCAAAATCCCTGCTGCAGTGCAAACCTGGTGAAAAACTACAGGAAGCGTTTCCCTCTGGAAACAAAGGACCAAATATTAACACTTGATTTTCTCAGGTGTTTAAATACTTGCAGCTGAATCATACAAATAAATAGTTAAATAAATCATAGATTGTGATTTCTGAATTTTTATTTTCACATTATGTCTCTTACAGTGGACATACACCTCCCATGAACATTTCAGACCCTCCATGATTTCTTTTAAAATCCTTATTTTGCTGTGGATGTTGACCAGCTTGAGTCCTACAGATGGAGCAGGAACATCTTCCATCCGTCGCTTTAGAGGTTTTCCTTTCCTCTGCTGCGTGTTTCCTCCAGAGCTCTGCAGCGATGCCTGAGGTGCGGGACCTTTCAGAGGCTTTACCGGAGATGTCCATGGATCCCATCACTGGCGTTGGAGTCGTGGCTTCCAGGAACAGGGCCCCCACTGGATATGATGTGGTAAACATGAAGGAGAGATGGCGCTCCGTAAATTACTGACATATTTCTAATATGCAAACAAAGTGAAAATCAGCTTTTTGCTTCCAACCTAGTAGCCATGTTGGCCCTCAGACCTCCGCAGGTTTGGAGCGTCCTCAGGTCGCGTGTGTCAGTATTCCTGTGCTTCCAACCTGTTTGTCTCCTTCCTCTAGATATCTACAACCACGGATGGCCTGGATGCAGACCTGTGGAAGGATGGCCTGTTCAAATCCAAGGTGACGCGCTACCTCTGCTTCACCAGAGTTTTCTCCAAGGAAAATGTGAGTGAGTCCGTTCAGCAGCCTCAGAAACGCTCCACTGATGCAGGTTAGCTGAGGCTGATCTGATCTTTAAAGACTTAATGCATTTAAAAATGAATCAATGATGAGAAAACCAGCAAAGTAAAATGATTAATTTACCTGTCAGGTGTGTTTATTTGGTGAAAGTTTACACTGAACTCAGCAGGTTGGTTCTAATTGTTCTTGGCGGCGACGCTGTTGGAAGCAGACAGGTTCATCTCACATCCTAAAAGCTGCTTTAATGGCTCTGAAATGTTCACCGTTTCTCAGTCTGTGTCCTCGTGGAACACCATCATCCTCAGCCCCAGTATTGTTCCAATTCACAAGAACAGCAGACCAAGAACGAACAAAGTCCCAGGATGTTGTTCTGGCCCCTCCCTCTTTACCCAGCATGCATCAGAGCAGACTGGTCCTTTCTTCAGACTGACAGCTGTCCCAGCATGCACTGCAGCAGCAGCAGCTTCAAGGTTAGGCCTAACGTCGGCCCGTCTGCGGCGGCCGGGGCCTAACTTCGGCCCGTCTGCGGCGGCCGGGGGCTAACGTCGGCCCGTCTGCGGCGGCTAACGTCGGCCCGTCTGCGGCGGCTAACGTCGGCCCGTCTGCGGCGGCTAACGTCGGCCCGTCTGCGGCGGCTAACTTCGGCCCGTCTGCGGCGGCTAACGTCGGCCCGTCTGCGGCGGCCGGGGGCTAACGTCGGCCCGTCTGCGGCGGCTAACGTCGGCCCGTCTGCGGCGGCCGGGGGCTAACGTCGGCCCGTCTGCGGCGGCTAACGTCGGCCCGTCTGCGGCGGCTAACGTCGGCCCGTCTGCGGCGGCTAACGTCGGCCCGTCTGCGGCGGCTAACTTCGGCCCGTCTGCGGCGGCTAACGTCGGCCCGTCTGCGGCGGCTAACTTCGGCCCGTCTGCGGGGGCTAACGTCGGCCCGTCTGCGGCGGCTAACGTCGGCCCGTCTGCGGCGGCTAACGTCGGCCCGTCTGCGGCGGCTAACGTCGGCCCGTCTGCGGCGGCTAACGTCGGCCCGTCTGCGGCGGCCGGGGGCTAACGTCGGCCCGTCTGCGGCGGCCCCCCCTCTCTCTGCTTGTGTGTGAAGGGCCGCTGGCTCTGATGGCGAGGTTTCTTCCATACTGGCGTTCTTGTGAATTGAGAAATGGCCGCTGTTTCCCAGCTATTATGGCTGCAGATGGCGACAGTCAGTTTATTCATGCTGGGCTTAGTAACAGGATGGCTGGAGCTTTTTACTGGATCCAAAGTGGGCGGAGCTAAAACTAGCTGAGTTGTGGTTCCTGACGAAGGGTTTTCATGTCAAATACTAAATTAATGGCGTCCGTAGTAATGTGGTGGTTTCTGTCCTCCTGCTCGTTGGTTGCTGCTCTAATCTCATGTGCTTCTCTGTTCTAGAGCCATTTAGGCAACGTTCTTGTAGACATGAAGCTAATCGATATAAAGGACACCCTGCCGGTGGGCTTCATCCCCATTCAGGAGACGGTGGACACTCGTAAGTCAGCCCAAAGCCAAAGGCCTCTGAGCTCCAGGACCCGTTTGGCTTTTCTTCATCTGCTTGCTGTGTTCGAGGCTCCTCTCAGCCTGTCTGTCTCCACAGAGGAGCAGGCCTTCAGAAAGAGGCGGCTGTGCATCAAGTTCATCCCCAGAGACTCTACAGAGGCGGCCATCTGCGACATCCGGATCCTGGGCCGCACCAAGCAGGCCCCCCCTCAGTACACCTTCATTGGGTGAGCTGAGCTTTAGGCCAGAGCAGCTAAAGCTGAGCTCTGTCTGAGTTGAACCTGTTCTTTGTTCTGTTGGCTGGCAGGGAGCTGAACAACATGGGAATCTGGTACCGCATGGGGACCGTTCCTCGGGCTCAGGACTCCACCCACGCACCAACCACCAACAATGTCCAGAACGCTAATTCATGCGCCGTCCCCGTCCCCGCGGCTCCTCTCCCCAAGTACGTAACTGATCAGTCGGCCCGCATGCAGCAACAACGCTGAGACACTGCTAATGGTGAACGGCAGAGCAGAGCTGGAGCCACAGGCTCCTCCTCCTGTTGCTGAGATGATCCTGATGGAGGACATACTGGTCCTTCAGTTCAGGTCTCAGGTCTCTGACCCCTCAGGTCTCTGACCCCTCAGTGTCTCTGACCCCTCAGTGTCTCGGGTCTCTGACCCCTCAGGGTCTCGGGTCTCTGACCCCTCAGGGTCTCGGGTCTCTGACCCCTCAGTGTCTCAGGTCTCTGACCCCTCAGGGTCTCAGGTCTCTGACCCCTCAGTGTCTCGGGTCTCTGACCCCTCAGGTCTCTGACCCCTCAGTGTCTCAGGTCTCTGACCCCTCAGTGTCACGGGTCTCTGACCCCTCAGGTCTCTGACCCCTCAGTGTCTCGGGTCTCTGACCCCTCAGTGTCTCGGGTCTCTGACCCCTCAGGTCTCTGACCCCTCAGTGTCTCGGGTCTCTAACCCCTCAGTGTCTCGGGTCTCTGACCCCTCAGTGTCTCGGGTCTCTGACCCCTCAGGTCTCTGACCCCTCAGTGTCTCGAGTCTCTGACCCCTCAGTGTCTCGGGTCTCTGACCCCTCAGGGTCTCGGGTCTCTGACCCCTCAGGTCTCTGACCCCTCAGTGTCTCGGGTCTCTGACCCCTCAGGTCTCTGACCCCTCAGTGTCTCGGGTCTCTGACCCCTCAGTGTCTCGGGTCTCTGACCCCTCAGGTCTCTGACCCCTCAGTGTCTCGGGTCTCTGACCCCTCAGGTCTCTGACCCCTCAGTGTCTCGGGTCTCTGACCCCTCAGGTCTCTGACCCCTCAGTGTCTCGAGTCTCTGACCCCTCAGTGTCTCGGGTCTCTGACCCCTCAGGTCTCTGACCCCTCAGTGTCTCGGGTCTCTGACCCCTCAGGTCTCTGACCCCTCAGGTCTCTGACCCCTCAGTGTCTCGGGTCCCTGACCCCTCAGGTCTCTGACCCCTCAGTGTCTCGGGTCTCTAACCCCTCAGTGTCTCGGGTCTCTGACCCCTCAGGTCTCTGACCCCTCAGTGTCTCGGGTCTCTGACCCCTCAGGGTCTCGGGTCTCTGACCCCTCAGGGTCTCGGGTCTCTGACCCCTCAGTGTCTCAGGTCTCTGACCCCTCAGGGTCTCAGGTCTCTGACCCCTCAGTGTCTCGGGTCTCTGACCCCTCAGGTCTCTGACCCCTCAGTGTCTCGGGTCTCTGACCCCTCAGGTCTCTGACCCCTCAGTGTCTCGGGTCTCTAACCCCTCAGTGTCTCGGGTCTCTGACCCCTCAGTGTCTCGGGTCTCTGACCCCTCAGGTCTCTGACCCCTCAGTGTCTCGAGTCTCTGACCCCTCAGTGTCTCGGGTCTCTGACCCCTCAGGTCTCTGACCCCTCAGTGTCTCGGGTCTCTGACCCCTCAGGTCTCTGACCCCTCAGTGTCTCGGGTCTCTGACCCCTCAGTGTCTCGGGTCTCTGACCCCTCAGGTCTCTGACCCCTCAGTGTCTCGGGTCTCTGACCCCTCAGGTCTCTGACCCCTCAGTGTCTCGGGTCTCTGACCCCTCAGGTCTCTGACCCCTCAGTGTCTCTGACCCCTCAGTGTCTCGGGTCTCTGACCCCTCAGGGTCTCTGACCCCTCAGTGTCTCGGGTCTCTGACCCCTCAGTGTCTCTGACCCCTCAGTGTCTCGGGTCTCTGACCCCTCAGTGTCTCGGGTCTCTGACCCCTCAGTGTCTCAGGTCTCTGACCCCTCAGGTCTCTGACCCCTCAGTGTCTCAGGTCTCTGACCCCTCAGGGTCTCAGGTCTCTGACCCCTCAGTGTCTCGGGTCTCTGACCCCTCAGGTCTCTGACCCCTCAGTGTCTCGGGTCTCTGACCCCTCAGGTCTCTGACCCCTCAGTGTCTCGGGTCTCTGACCCCTCAGGGTCTCGGGTCTCTGACCCCTCAGGTCTCTGACCCCTCAGGGTCTCGGGTCTCTGACCCCTCAGGTCTCTGACCCCTCAGGGTCTCGGGTCTCTGACCCCTCAGTGTCTCGGGTCTCTGACCCCTCAGTGTCTCGGGTCTCTGACCCCTCAGTGTCTCTGACCCCTCAGTGTCTCGGGTCTCTGACCCCTCAGGGTCTCTGACCCCTTAGTGTCTCGGGTCTCTGACCCCTCAGTGTCTCGGGTCTCTGACCCCTCAGGTCTCTGACCCCTCAGTGTCTCGGGTCTCTGACCCCTCAGGTCTCTGACCCCTCAGTGTCTCAGGTCTCTGACCCCTCAGGTCTCTGACCCCTCAGGGTCTCAGGTCTCTGACCCCTCAGTGTCTCAGGTCTCTGACCCCTCAGGGTCTCGGGTCTCTGACCCCTCAGTGTCTCAGGTCTCTGACCCCTCAGTGTCTCGGGTCTCTGACCCCTCAGGTCTCTGACCCCTCAGTGTCTCGGGTCTCTGACCCCTCAGTGTCTCGGGTCTCTGACCCCTCAGGTCTCTAACCCCTCAGTGTCTCGGGTCTCTGACCCCTCAGTGTCTCGGGTCTCTGACCCCTCAGGTCTCTGACCCCTCAGTGTCTCAGGTCTCTGACCCCTCAGTGTCTCGGGTCTCTGACCCCTCAGTGTCTCGGGTCTCTGACCCCTCAGGGTCTCAGGTCTCTGACCCCTCAGTGTCTCGGGTCTCTGACCCCTCAGGTCTCTGACCCCTCAGTGTCTCGGGTCTCTGACCCCTCAGTGTCTCGGGTCTCTGACCCCTCAGGTCTCTGACCCCTCAGTGTCTCGGGTCTCTGACCCCTCAGTGTCTCGGGTCTCTGACCCCTCAGGTCTCTGACCCCTCAGTGTCTCAGGTCTCTGACCCCTCAGGTCTCTGACCCCTCAGTGTCTCAGGTCTCTGACCCCTCAGTGTCTCAGGTCTCTGACCCCTCAGGGTCTCGGGTCTCTGACCCCTCAGTGTCTCGGGTCTCTGACCCCTCAGGTCTCTGACCCCTCAGTGTCTCAGGTCTCTGACCCCCTCAGGGTCTCGGGTCTCTGACCCCTCAGTGTCTCAGGTCTCTGACCCCTCAGTGTCTCGGGTCTCTGACCCCTCAGTGTCTCGGGTCTCTGACCCCTCAGGTCTCTGACCCCTCAGTGTCTCGGGTCTCTGACCCCTCAGGGTCTCTGACCCCTCAGTGTCTCGGGTCTCTGACCCCTCAGGTCTCTGACCCCTCAGTGTCTCAGGTCTCTGACCCCTCAGGTCTCTGACCCCTCAGGGTCTCAGGTCTCTGACCCCTCAGTGTCTCAGGTCTCTGACCCCTCAGGGTCTCGGGTCTCTGACCCCTCAGTGTCTCAGGTCTCTGACCCCTCAGTGTCTCAGGTCTCTGACCCCTCAGTGTCTCGGGTCTCTGACCCCTCAGTGTCTCGGGTCTCTGACCCCTCAGGTCTCTGACCCCTCAGTGTCTCGGGTCTCTAACCCCTCAGTGTCTCAGGTCTCTGACCCCTCAGGTCTCTGACCCCTCAGGGTCTCGGGTCTCTGACCCCTCAGTGTCTCAGGTCTCTGACCCCTCAGTGTCTCGGGTCTCTGACCCCTCAGTGTCTCGGGTCTCTGACCCCTCAGTGTCTCGGGTCTCTGACCCCTCAGTGTCTCGGGTCTCTGACCCCTCAGGGTCTCGGGTCTCTGACCCCTCAGGTCTCTGACCCCTCAGTGTCTCGGGTCTCTGACCCCTAAGGTCTCTGACCCCTCAGTGTCTCGGGTCTCTGACCCCTCAGTGTCTCGGGTCTCTGACCCCTCAGGTCTCTGACCCCTCAGTGTCTCGGGTCTCTAACCCCTCAGTGTCTCGGGTCTCTGACCCCTCAGTGTCTCGGGTCTCTGACCCCTCAGGGTCTCGGGTCTCTGACCCCTCAGGTCTCTGACCCCTCAGTGTCTCGGGTCTCTGACCCCTAAGGTCTCTGACCCCTCAGTGTCTCGGGTCTCTGACCCCTCAGTGTCTCGGGTCTCTGACCCCTCAGGTCTCTGACCCCTCAGGGTCTCAGGGACCAGAGCTGTGGCATCAGAGCAGCTGAGGTGTGGCCAGAACTCAGGTTCTGCTCTGATGGACCCAGAGAAAGTTCTGAGCAGAACTTCTAAATGAAGAAAGAAGAATTTTCATTCTCATTCCACTTTCACATTACAGAGAAATGAAATGCATCTATGGGGAGCAGGGGGCCCCCCAGGGAGCAGTGTGGGGTTAGGGGTCTTGCTCAGGGACCCAGAGTGAATCTGGGAGTGCGACTGGAACTCAGAATGTCTCCTCTCAGACGGACGTCTTCAGGACGTCCTGTGGAACGTCTCCTGTCAGACGGACGTCTTCAGGACGTCCTCTGGAACCTCTCCTGTCAGACGGACGTCTTCAGGACGTCCTCTGGAACGTCTCCTATCAATTGGCCATCTTGGGTTCTGGCTTTGTCCCCTGAAGGAGGCGAGTTCTCTGAGAACATTGTTGCTTCAGTCTCCATCAGATGTGGCAACAGGAACAGGTCTGGTCTGGTCTGGGCCCAGGATGGTCCAGTTGGCCCAGGGAGGTTCTGCGGTTCTACCAGCCTGGGAATATGTAGGAAGTTAAAAATGGCCGCCTGAGGGTTGGATGGAGTACGGCCAGCAGATGAACCGTGGTCCAGCAGATGAACCGTGGTCCAGAACAGGCGGTTCTGGTTTGACTCCTTCTGCTGCTCAGAACCTCCTTGAGATCCAAACCTGCCTTTGGTTCCAGCCGTGTGCTCAGAGCGTCACGGTTCTCCTCGCTGTTCTCCCTTTCCTCTGCAGACACATCTCCATGACGCTGCCCGCCAGCTTCAGAGGGAAGAACGCCACCAGGCCAGACTACGAGCACCAGAACTCCAACCTTTACGCCATCTCAGGTCAGGAGCTGGTTTCATCCAGGAGGTCTTCAGCTCTTAGGAAACATTCATGTCTTTCATGCTGTGAACGTTTTGGGATGATGTGTCTTTCAGCGATGGACGGGGTTCCTTTCATGATTTCGGAGAAGTTTGCCTGTGCCTCCTCTGATGTGAGTGTTGGTTGGTGCTTTCTCAGCTTAACGGATCAGAATGGCCTCCTCTAACCGTCTGTTTGCTCTCAGCTGCAGCAGGTGGATCTGATGGGCATCACCATCAAGACGCTGGCTGAGATCGAGAAAGAGGTGAGGTAGAAGAAACTGCTCCTCTTCATTGAGGTTCATGCTGATCTACCAGAACTGAAGCAGATTAACGTCCAATGCTAAGCTCTAGTTAGCATGCTAATGCCGTGCTTCACTCTACTGCTCATTGAAACCCAAACCTGAGCTTTCCATGGTTTAGATTTTTAGAAACGTTTGGCTGTGATCAGGGACGGATTTAGGGAATATGGGGCCCAAGGCAAAGACAGGCAGGGGCCCCTCTGAGAAGACATAGAACAGCCCCATTCTCCAGATGTAGAAATGTTAATAGAATGGACATCCATTCTCTGTTCTAGGTTGTGTCCCTCTCTTCTTGTCCCTTTTCTTCTTGTTTTCCTCTCTATGTTTTGTACTCAGCTGACTTTTCATGCTGTCTCTAAAGGAATGAAAGATTTTTTCCAAGCACTAAGCTCACTTAGCTGATTGCTCCTTCCTGTGTTTCCAAAAAGGCCAAAGTAAATAACCCAGTCCTTCTTTTCACTGTAGACAAGCCATGATCTGCTTCTCTGTTCTCCATTTTTCATTTGGATGAAATAATAGCTGCATGAATCATGACAGCAGACAAGATAGAGGAGAGCAGGAGGCGGGGTTACCAATCTACTCGCTCTGGAGAGCAGAGTTCGCTGCTTTTAGATGTTGTCTCCAAAGTCTCCAGTAGCAGAAAAAAGTCTCTAGATTTGGCGCTAGGAGCTTTTTAGAAATCAAAGTGCTAGAGGGGTCTGAAAAGTGGCTAAATATAGCGACTAAAGCGCTAAGTTGGCAACACTGCTCTTTGCATGGTTTGTTTTCAAATGGTTTGCTGCTGTCTGTTTGGACCTTTCTGAACATGTGCAGCAAATGGACTGATCCAATATGGTGGACACTGAAGGGGGGGGGGCTGAGACACACTTAATATTATCAGCGTTCTGATGGCATTTTAGCCAAAGGATTTTTATCAAAAACATAATTAATGTGCAGAAATAAGGAATAGTTGCATTAACCATACATGGAAACAGAGTGTTAAATGGCCCCCAGGAAGCTGGGGCCCTGGGGAACAGTCTACTATTGCCTAATGGAACCCCCCCCCCGGCTGTGAGGGTTTGAAGTCAATCGTTCATTCATATATTTAAAACATGCCCCTCATTTCATCCAACAGAAGCGCAGCGATGCGTGGGGGGGGGCGGGGTGAACTTTTCTTCCAGTAAAGTTCCAGGTGAGGGAAATCCATGGAGCAGCATAGAGCTGCAGCTGTAGCTTTTATCCCAGCTGGTTTTAGAGGAAGGAGCGTCTGGGAGCGCAGCTCAGAGGGAATAAGCTCAGGGTTTGACCTGCGGCTCCTCAGGGAAGCGTTCTCTGCTAGACCCGGTCAGATGCATCCAGCAGAGCCGTTCCTGTGTTACAGGCTGTCTCCAGCAGGGGTCGCTGTGGCAGCATCTAAGGGAGCTTTCCTAAAGCTGGGCTCTGATTGAACATCATGTTTCTGTCTTTGTGCTTCAGTATGATTACAGTTTCCGCACGGAGCACAGCGCAGCGGCTCGCCTCCCCCCCAGCCCCACGCGGACCTCCCTGAGCTCCGAAGCCTGACGCTCCTCTTCCTGAACCGCCCTGTTGGTAGGGAACACCCACAGGAGAGACCTGCACACAACTACTGAGTACCTGGCCCCCGACGCGTGAAGAAGGTCCGAGTCCAGCTGGAGCTGCTGTTCCCTTCATACGCAGGGCAGAGCGGATCCAGGGGGGCGACAGCAGCTCTGCTCCTTCTAAACCAGCCGCCGCTCTCAATCAACACTCCAGCAGGAAGTTCACCTTCTCCGTCTCTAAAGGGAAACTGGTTCTCTTCTTCATACTGTAGTAAAGTGACTGGACTATAAGTGCACTTTGTGTTTGGGACAATCTCAGTGTGCCTCCTGTTTGCCTTCCATGTCCTGTAATCACTTCTCTGTGTTTCTGCGTGAGCCGGCGTCACCAACAGCTCCCACCACTAAGCTACAAGCGAACCGCCGTAACGCCTCCATTCATCAGCTGGAGGAGAAAAGGAGGCGTTAGATGAAATCATTTCCTCAGTCAGTTTCAGCCACCAGGGAAAGTTACAAGAATTCTAAAACACAGTTTAGTTCAACTTCTGATGACGTTACAGGATTGAAGGTCAAAGTTCACGGCTTGGCTCTGATTAGCTGCTAGCATCATGAGCAGGTAGCCGTTGTTTTTACTGTCCTGCCTCAGTGAGAAATGTTACACCATCCTTTCTAAAACTTTTGGTCCAATCGGCTATTTATACTTTAGATTTTGATGCTGGAGCTTTCAGCCCAGTTCTCCCAGTCTGATCCGTACCAGTGAGTGACTGGTCAACATGTGTTTACTCTGTGGTTTCGTGCATTTCACCTCCCCACCCTTTTTATCTTGTCTAACCATTTATTAATTGTTGCAGCTGTACGTATTGCAGTATTGTCGGGTCACTGCTGCTGCAGCGGTTTAGCTAGACTCGGTTTTAACCATTTCACTTTGGTGATTCTACTTTAAACTGTTTTAACATAGAGAAACACTCGTTGCACTGTTGATGAGATCACCAGAGGAAAGCATCCCTGTGCTAATGCTAAGCTAACCCTGCGTGTTTATTTAGTGTTCGTTTTAGCTCCGCCTGTAGCTCACTAACTGCAGCTAATCCTGTTTCCAAAGTGTTAATCTGCCTGCATGAGGAAACACTTCAGTAAAAGGATTTAGGATATTTTAGGGGAAAATATTCACAAACAGATTTTTATTCTTTAAAAGTATAAATCACATGTAGTGGAACCTGTGTTATAAGGATGTTAATTAAACTGTGATGAACAAGTCGAATCGTCCTGATTTTCTTTTTATTACAGATGCTTGAAAAAATAATAAAACTTCTAAATAATCAAAACAGATTTTATTTATAAATTATATTTGATAGATAGTCCCACATTTCAGAGCTCAGCAGCATCACTGGTCAGTGAGCTTTGTCCATTATTCAATTCTATTCAGTTTATTTCTATAGCTCCAATTCACATCATGTCATCTCAGGTCACTTTCCAGTTCACCAGATCATCCAGTCAGATTGATTCAAAGTTTTCTATCTAAGGAAAACCAGCTGATTGCATCGACTCATTGACTCTTCAGCAATCCCTCACACTAAGCATGCTTGTAGCGACAGTGGAGAGGAAAAACTCCCTTTGAACAGGAAGAAACCTCCAGCAGAACCAGGCTCAGTGTGAGCGGCCATCTGCTGAGGCCCACTGGGGTTCAAGGAGACAGAAGCATCATCCATTCATCATCTTTCATCCATCCATCTACATCCACTAATCATCCATCTGTCATTCTTTATCTATTCTTAGATTTAAGAATACTTTTTCAGGAACTGGGTAGGAGAATTTCTGCGGCCATTTTTGTCATGTGTCTCAGTTTTTAACCGGCACTTTGTCGTAAATCATCTACTTGACACACGAGGAGCGATGGATGGCTGTCACCACTCTGAAACCCAAAACACAGGATGGCAGTGGTTATGAATCACTATCCAGTTCCCTGTCTGCAAGAAATGACTATGAGAAAAAGCAGAGAGAGCAGAACGTTAGAGATTGATATAAGATTCTGCAGAGTGGGAGAATAGAGATAGATTGAAGCAGAATGATGAAAAAGGGGTCCCTATGTCCTCCAGCAGTCTAAGGCTATAGCAGCAGAACTATAGAGATAGCTCAGGATAACCTGAGCCACTCTAACTTTATGAATGCAGAGGAACCTCAGCAGCATGGCTGACATTGTTCAGTTTTCTAGAATGTTGTTCTGGTTTGAACCATGCAACCATTGCTGGACCCAACGCATCATTACCTATATCCAGAGGAACATTAAGTATTCAACTGAACCTCATTCAGCTGCCTGCTCTCCAGCACAGCAGCTGCTTTTAGACCGCAGCCTGTAAAACCTTTAAGATGCGCCACATAGTCGGCATGTTTACAGACATGTTTACAGCTTCAGCTTATTTACCATAAAAACATTTTACAACTGCTGCTTTAAAATGACTAAAGTCGACATGTGGTCCATGGTTGATGAAATCCTGTGCTGTCCTCTGTCTCTCTGTGTGCGTGTGCCTCATTACCTTAACAGGGTGTAAACGGTTCCCAACATTGGCCTCCAATCTTTCCTTCCTTTGACCATAACCTTCATTAAACAGCTGCCAACCAAACTAGCTGTTAACGAGGCGTCAGACAAACGCTACAGCTGTTATCTCACTTTGACAGGAAGCACCACTTTGCAACCATCTCCCAACACTGAAACAAAAAGGGTTGGTTAATATCTAGCAGAGTCTCATGAAAGATGAACATGATTTATTAATAATTTAATTCATAAACATTTTGTTGACCCCAAAGGGAAATTAGATGTTTTGACTCGTGTATTTGTTCCAGTTAGTTGTAGATGTTGAAGGCTGTAGGCATCTGTCCTACTGAGGAGATGGGAGCAAGTAGGTGAATGATAATATCATCCACCATCTCCATGGCGATAAGCAAACTGCAAGGGGTCCTGATAGCTGCTGGTCTATAGTCACTGAGGACTGCTGGCTGAGTCTTCTTTGGTCCTGGATCAAGGCAGGAGGTCTATAGTCACTGAGGACTGCTGGCTGAGTCTTCTTTGGTCCTGGATCGAGGCAGGAGGTCTATAGTCACTGAGGACCGCTGGCTGAGTCTTCTTTGGTCCTGGATCAAGGCAGGAGGTCTATAGTCACTGAGGACTGCTGGCTGAGTCTTCTTTGGTCCTGGATCAAGGCAGGAGGTCTATAGTCACTGAGGACTGCTGGCTGAGTCTTCTTTGGTCCTGGAACAAGGCAGGAGGTCTATAGTCACTGAGGACTGCTGGCTGAGTCTTCTTTGGTCCTTCAACAAGGCAGGAGGTCTATAGTCACTATGGACTGCTGGCTGAGTCTTCTTTGGTCCTGGAACAAGGCAGGAGGTCTATAGTCACCGAGGACTGCTGGCTGAGTCTTCTTTGGTCCTTCAACAAGGCAGGAGGTCTATAGTCACTGAGGACTGCTGGCTGAGTCTTCTTTGGTCCTTCAACAAGGCAGGAGGTCTATAGTCACTATGGACTGCTGGCTGAGTCTTCTTTGGTCCTGGAACAAGGCAGGAGGTCTATAGTCACCGAGGACTGCTGGCTGAGTCTTCTATGGTCCTGGATCAAGGCAGGAGGTCTATAGTCACTGAGGACCGCTGGCTGAGTCTTCTTTGGTCCTGCAACAAGGCAGGAGGTCTATAGTCACTGAGGACTGCTGGCTGAGTCTTCTTTAGTCCTGGATCAAGGCAGGAGGTCTATAGTCACTGAGGACTGCTGGCTGAGTCTTCTTTGGTCCTGGAACAAGGCAGCAGGTCTATAGTCACTGAGGACTACTGGCTGAGTCTTCTTTGGTCCTGCAACAAGGCAGCAGGTCTATAGTCACTGAGGACTGCTGGCTGAGTCTTCTTTGGTCCTGCAACAAGGTAGAAGGTCTATAGTCACTGAGGACTGATGGCTGAGTCTTCTTTGGTCCTGCAACAAGGCAGCAGGTCTATAGTCACTGAGGACTGCTGGCTGAGTCTTCTTTGGTCCTGGAACAAGGCAGGAGGTCTATAGTCACTGAGGACTGCTGGCTAAGTCTTCTTTGGTCCTGGAACAAGGCAGGAGGTCTATAGTCACTGAGGACTGATGGCTGAGTCTTCTTTGGTCCTGGAACAAGGCAGCAGGTCTATAGTCACTGAGGACTGATGGCTGAGTCTTCTTTGGTCCTGGAACAAGGCAGCAGGTCTATAGTCACTGAGGACTGCTGGCTAAGTCTTCTTTGGTCCCGCAACAAGGCAGAAGGTCTATAGTCACTGAGGACCGCTGGCTGAGTCTTCTTTGGTCCTGGAACAAGGCAGGAGGTCTATAGTCACTGAGGACCGCTGGCTGAGTCTTCTTTGGTCCTGGAACAAGGCAGGAGGTCTATAGTCACTGAGGACTACTGGCTGAGTCTTCTTTGGTCCTGCAACAAGGCAGCAGGTCTATAGTCACTGAGGACCGCTGGCTGAGTCTTCTTTGGTCCTGGAACAAGGCTGGAGGTCTATAGTCACTGAGGACCGCTGGCTGAGTCTCCTTTGGTCCTGGAACAAGGCTGGAGGTCTATAGTCACTGAGGACCGCTGGCTGAGTCTCCTTTGGTCCTGGAACAAGGCAGCAGGTCTATTGTCACTGAGGACCGCTGGCTGAGTCTTCTTTGGTCCTGGAACAAGGCAGGAGGTCTATAGTCACTGAGGACTACTGGCTGAGTCTTCTTTGGTCCTGCAACAAGGCAGCAGGTCTATAGTCACTGAGGACCGCTGGCTGAGTCTTCTTTGGTCCTGGAACAAGGCTGGAGGTCTATAGTCACTGAGGACCGCTGGCTGAGTCTTCTTTGGTCCTGCAACAAGGTAGAAGGTCTATAGTCACTGAGGACCGCTGGCTGAGTCTTCTTTGGTCCTGGATCAAGGCAGGAGGTCTATAGTCACTGAGGACTGCTGGCTGAGTCTTCTTTGGTCCTGGAACAAGGCAGGAGGTCTATAGTCACTGAGGACTGCTGGCTGAGTCTTCTTTGGTCCTTCAACAAGGCAGGAGGTCTATAGTCACTATGGACTGCTGGCTGAGTCTTCTTTGGTCCTGGAACAAGGCAGGAGGTCTATAGTCACCGAGGACTGCTGGCTGAGTCTTCTTTGGTCCTTCAACAAGGCAGGAGGTCTATAGTCACTGAGGAC